ATTTTCCTGCAAATGACGTCATTTTTCTTTATGGTTATGTACTATACCATGGTGTGTATATGTGTGTGGGTGTTATGTGTGTGTCACATCTTCTTTATCCATTCATCTGGTTATATTAAATTAATTTGCATTATATATCATTACTTTCTTCCTGTCTGTCATATTTGTTTCTACTCATGAGCCCTAGGTTATGAGTACCAATCCTTCCTTACTCTCACCCTAAACATTAACCCTCACGGTTAACTTCCAGGCTTGAGCTGTACCTTTCAATGTTTAATCCAATGTTTCTGTTGGCTAAACATAATAACCTCACACACACCCTCCCCTCCCAGAGATTCGGACACAAACTTCCTAGCATCAGAGTGGTTTTCCCTCAAGCTCTGCCCAGCCAGAAATTTTTCTTCCCTTCCCTTTTTCTTTTCTTTTCTTTTTCCCGGGTTGTGGGGCTTGAACTCTGGGCTTGGATGCTGTCCCTGCGCTCTTCAACTCAAGACTCAAGGCTCTCGCTCTACTGTTTGAGCCACAACGCCACTTCCGCCACTTCCGGTTTTCTATTGTTTATTGGAGATAAGAATCTCATTAGGAAATGGGCTGGCTTTGAACCAAGATCCTCAGACCTCAGCCTCCTGAATAGCTAGGATTACAGCCATGAGCCACTGGTGCCCGGCTTTTTCTTTTCGTTGTTTTCCTTCCTTGTTCCTTTCTTTTTTCCTTTATTTTTTTTTGTTCTGTCCTGGGGCTTGAACTCAGGGCCTGGGCATTGTCCCTGGGCTTCTTTTGCTCAAAGCTACTACCACTCTACCACTTGAGTCACAGCACCACTTCTGGCTTTTTCTGTTTATTCCCACCCCCTTTCTTTTTTTCATAATCTGGATACTTAAAACAATTTCTCCACTATTGTTATCACACTGATATGTGTAATGTCTAACATATTACATATGCCCCTTCAAAATTCACTGTTTATAAAATGACTAAAGTCTTTTCCTCATAGCTCCTACAGCTCAAGCTGTAGCTAGCCATACGTAGGGATTTGCACATACATCTGGAAATGCAGAAGGTATTTAGTGGATACTAATCAGTAATTATCACATGAAGTGATAAAGTAAGGCCAAGGAAAAGCATATATAGTGAGTCACTTGACAAGTCACAATTACCAGTCAGCTAGCTATTCAGAAGGTAACTACATACACATACAACTAGAATTTGAGTTTGTAGTCATAAAAAAGCCACTTATGGATCATAAAATCTGTAAAAAGTAAATACATTATGGACAAAAACAAATGACCTTTTTGTATGTTTGTGCTGGTACTGGGGCTTGAACTCAGGGACTCATGCTCTCATTTGGATTTTCACTCACAGCCACCACTCTAGCACTTGAACCATACCTCCACTTCTGGCTTTTTGCTGATTAATTGGAGATAAGGTCTCTTCAACTTTACTGACTGGACTGGCTTCTAGCAGTGATCCTCAAATCTCAGCTTCCTGGGTAGGTAGGACCATAGGTGTGAGTCACCAGTACCCACAACAAATGATTATTTTAAATGGCACAAATTATAACCAAAGAAACCTGAGAAATATCCATATCTCTCAAGAAACCCAAAGAATATTCTTAGGACTGGACTAAAAGGGGGGGGGAGCTAAATCAGTTGAAAACTTACTAAGGAACAATGAGTAATAAAAGGCTGGGTATTAAACAGAAGCTAGCAAATGGCACAGCATTTTTCCAGAACAGAAGATGTCCTAAAACTAAACAACTGGCACACTTTTTAGAATTATCCCTATAGTTGGGAAAGCAATCCACTGTACACACCCCAGATGAATAGAATGTCTTTATAATATGGTTACTGTCAAAAGATGGAAAAATCTGGAGATCCCTATGATTTCTGCTACTCTCAAACACAGGAGCTCCAAATGGTCATGATCAACTGATCAGCTGACTCACAAAATGAAACCCTATTCGAATTCTATACATGCCAAGCATCTCTCTGACAGAATAACTTACTTGAGTTATTCTACATTACATTACATTACAACCTAAACTGGTTTTCAAGCCAAAGGTGTTACCTCCCGCACTAATTATAAAATTAGTAATCTTAAGAAAACTGTGTCTTGAAGGAAGTGGCGCTGTGGCTCAAGTGGTAGAGCGCTTGCCTTGAGCTGAAGAGTGCAGGGATAGCGCCCAGGCCCAGAGTTCAAGCCCCACGACCCACAAAAAAAAAAAAAAGGCAGAAAACTGTGTCTTGATTTTTAAGTTCATTTTGGAAAGTCTTTTCCAAAACATTGGAGCCCTGGAGCTGGGAAGGTGGCTCAGTGGTAGAGCGCTTGCCTTGCATGCCTGAGGCCCTGGGTTCAATTCCTCAGCACCACATAAGAAAAAAGAAAAAAGCCAGAAGTGGCACTGTGGCTCAAGTGGTAGAGCGGTAGCTTTGAGCTGAAGAGCTGAGGGACAGCGCCCAGGCCCAGAGTTCAGGCCCCACGACCGGACCCCCCCCCAAAAAAAATTGGAGCCCAGAAAGCCGGGCACAAGTGGCTCATGCCTGTAATCCAAGCTACTCAAGAGGCTGAGATCTGAGGACTGCAGTTCAAAGCCAGCCCAGACAGGAAAAGCCATGAGACTTACCTCCAATAAACCTCCAGAAAACTGGAAGTGATATTGTGGCTCAAGTGGTAGTATACTAGCCTTGAGCTGAAGAGCTGAGGGACAGCACCCAGACTCAGAGTTCAAGCCCCATGACCAAAAAAAAAAAAAAAAGAAAGAAATTGGAGCCCAGACAAACTAAAGGTCTGGCTGTAGATTGGAGATAACCCCATCAATGATGATAATTTGGTAGATTAGGAACAATTAGCTAGTATCTCTACCTTGACACCTCTTCTGAACACTTGAAATACTAATGCTAGACAGGTATGAGCACCAGTGTGAGTCAGGGTATTTTGATTTACCTTCAGTCAATTCTCCAAAAGCCATTGTTGTTTGGGAAAATAGTTCAGTCACTATAGAATTCAAACAAGGAGGGAGCCCAGAAGAGGATCAACTGCTATGGCTCTAAGAGTAGGAAGCTGCTAAAAACTCACTGTACAGTGTGACCACAATCAGAATATAAAAACTATAAGAAAGGCCCAACACTAAGGTCATCTACCAAGGAGAAACAGCAGAACTTTAAAAGCATGAGAGAGCCAGGTGCTGGTGGCTCATGACTATAATCCTAGCTACTCAGTAAGGCTGAGATCTGAGGATCATGGTTCAAAGCCAGCCTGATCAGAAAAGTCCATGAGACTCTTTTTTTTGTTTGTCTGTTTTTTGTTTTGTTTTTTGGGTCCGGTTGTGGGGCCTGAACTCTGGGCCTGGGCGCTGTCCCTCAGCTCTTCAGCTCAAGGCTAGCGCTCTACCACTTGAGCCACAGCGCCACTTCCGGCTTTTTTTCTTTTTGCTTATGTGGTGCTGAGGAATCGAACCCAGGTCCTCATGCATGCAAGGCAAGCGCTCTACCACTGAGCCACCTTCCCAGCTCCTCCATGAGACTCTTATCTCCAATAAACTACTCAAAAAAGCCAGAAGTGGCACTGTGGCTCAAGTGGTAGAGCACTCAATTTGAGCAAAAGAGGCTCAGTGACAGCGCCCAGGCCCAGAGTTCAAGCCCCAAGACCAGTAAAAAATGAAAAATAAAATGAAAGCATGAGAATTGAAAATAAAGAATCAAATAGGATATATTTTTTTTTTAAAAAAAGGATATATTTCAAGGACTTGGCAAAGGAATAACTATGAAAAGGCTCAACAAGGATCTAGGATAACATAAGACATCACAGGTAGAAACCAGCAGCCAGCTCATGGGTTAAAGATGTCTATCTGTGAGCTACCCCATTACTGGGAAAGAAGGGCAGAGAAAGCAAAGTTCTATTGGCAGCCAGAAAGTAAAGGCAGAAAAATGACAACCTATAGTAGAAGGCATTGGAAAAGCCAGAGAAACAAAGATGTTAAAATCTTTTAGAAAAATAGTAGTAATCATAGTAACAAACATATGTAGCACCTAACATACACAGCTCCTTTCTAAAAGCTTGACATGTTTTTATTTATTATAACAACTGTATGGATCTGGAAGTGTGGCTCAAGAGGTAGAGTATCACCCATGAACAAGACCCTAATTTCAAGCTCAGCACTGGGGAAGGAAGTTGGGGGGGGGGGGAGAACAGTATGGAAATAGCTATTATTTTTTAGATGAGTTAAATGAAGTTAAGAAGTAGATGACCTTACTTAAGGTCATATATTGAAAAACAACTGGGATTCTGGTATCAAACCAAAGCAAACCTTTCAGTCTTCAGAGGCTCTCCTGAGTTAAACTTCTGTTTTCCCATCCTCAATTCAAACAAACTACTGAAGTCTGAATCTTAGTTTCCTTATTTGTCCTCTCTACCTGCCAATGCCTTCCGTAGTTTAGTCTAAGAGAATGATGCAGTTACTCCCAACTACACTCACTTACACCTAATACCTTTGCAGAATCTAGCAACAAAACCTAAGCAGGGCTGAGGTCAAAGAATAACCTTTGCCATGGCATTTCGAATGCCATTCATTGGTTAGATAATATTTCCATGACTCTAATAAAATAACATCCCAATTCTTTTTCAGCCACCGAGCAATTGATTTCTTATCTTGGACATAAACTAGAATCTGTGCCTGGCTGGACAGGATGCCTTAGTACACAAAAGGACCTATGAAACCTAGGGCTGTAAAAACTCGGGAGAATGAAGCTGGCAGAGCCTCATAAGTATGGATGCAAATCCACTGATACACAAGTAAAATCCGTGATGACAGAACCAGAGCCCAGTGATTTCACTAAGGTGATCCAGTGGTCTCAACCTAGATCACTCCATCTAGGCGGGAGAAGCAGAGATGTCTTCGCAGAAACCGAACTCTATACACCTCGGGTCCACTATGTCCCGCGATCCCCTCTCCCCAAATCCACCCTCCAGATCAGCGGGGGGCGCCTCATCTTTCTGTCCCTCACCTCTAAAGTTTTCACCAGGATCTTCATGTAAAGTTCAGAGATGCCCAGAGATACTCCGAAGGCCGAAGGCAACAGGATGAGGCTGAGCACCAGAGTCAGCCAGGTGGACAAGATCTTCCCCGCCAGGTCCGCGCCCTCCATGGCTCCGCGCACCCACTCGGGACGAGAGGTCCGCGGAGAAGAGCTGTGGGCGACCGCAGTCCCTGTCCCCAGGCAGGCAGGCAGGCAGTCCAGTCGCGGCTCCGGTGCCACCAACGTCGCCCCCTCCCGGCTCTCACCACTGCGGAGCAAAGAAGAGAGGAAGAGGGGGAAAAACTTTCAGAATGATGGCAAGATCCTTCCTTCCTCCTTGGGCTCCTGTTGGCCTCCACTAGAGGCCCAGGCGAAGAGCCGAAGCCACTGGAGCGATCGCAGACTGCGGGCGTGAGGACCGAAGTGGGGGCGAGCGCAGGGTCACGGACCGTGCGCTCAGAGCGCAGGGGCGCAGCCAGGAACGCGCCCCGCCCCGTGCCTGGTTTCCTCTGAGCGCCGATTGCGACAACCCACAGTGACTCACCGAAGCCTTCCTGCAGCACGATCCCGGCCAGTGAGCTCTGGGGCCCGAGGCTAGGCTGGTGACTGGTAGTTCCTGGGTTCCCGGCGTCCTTTTTCTGAGCGCTGCCTTGGCCCCACCTCCTTGGCCACCCAGCCCGGGAGGTTCCAGTCCCCCGGGTGCTGCAGTGACCCCGCGCCCCCCCCCCAACCTCCCGCCGCGCTCCCGCCTAGCGTTTCAGCCAGAGTTCCAATCTGTAGATGCTGAGCGGTTCCTACGCCTCGCAGAGAGTACAACTGCGCGGCTCGGACGCCGGCGAAGGTCTGGCCTGGGAGGGTCTGGCCTGGGCGCGTATAAAATCGACCTCCCGGGAAGGGCTTTCCAGGAGCGGAAAATGCCCAGCATTGTGCTGCTGCCACACGCCTCTTCTGGCCCTCCCACACCAGATCCAGCTTTTCTAGCCCGCAGCTAAGCTGCCAGGATAAAGCTTGCTTATCAGGAGTGGAAAGCTCTGGCTCCGAACGGCCTAAACTGCCCTGACACCGTGCCTTCGGGCACAGAAGAAAGGCAGAAGCCACTAGTGGCTCTTGCCTGTAATCCCAGCACTCTGAAGTCTGAGTCAGCTGGATTGGCAAGTTCGAGGTCAGCCAGGGCTACACAGGGAGTTCCAGGTCAGTTTGAGCTACCAGAGGAAATCTTCTCTCAAATTTTAAAAGAAGGAAGATGAAGGGAGAGATAGGAGAGGAGGGAGAAGGAGAAATCTTCCCTGATTCCGTCAAAGCTCAAATCTGCAGGGAATGGCAGCCAGGAGCCAGCCTCTGACCTGAGCCTCCCAGGGTTCCACATTTGTGCTGCTAAGGTGCAACTGGAACAGTGTAGGGCGAAACTCTGAACTCGTATTTACTCCACTGCCCTGCAGAAATTTTAAGAACCCTAGTAAATTAGGAAATCTGGCTTTCCTGTGTCCAGATCACACTGAATCAGCCATCGCTTAGTTGGATTAGAAGCATTTACAGGTAACAGGTGTCAAGCTGAAAGTGTTCACAGCAGATGTAGCGAAAACTCTCCCTTGCCAAGGGTGTGGAGGAAGTAGGGGGTGGGGAAGGTGACTGGGAAAAGAGAAGCTCCTATGCAAAGAATGTGAGAGCTTGCAATCTGCACTTCCTGCCTGGTACCTGTCACAAGCTCCTCCCCTAGGAAGGGGAAGTAAGCAAGTTATGAATGAAAACGTTTCTGGAGTTTGTTTTCTCCAACTGAAAGGTCTATGTATCCATTGAAATAAAAAAAAATTGCTGAAAGCTACCAATGTTCCTGCTGAATGCAAAGCCTCATAGATTATATTGACTCATGTAACACTCATGTGAAATGCTTACCTTTCTTTATTCTCTCAAGCCAAAATGACTAAGGAACACTGAATGTACTAAAGTCCACCCAGCAAAGGAGACCAGACAAGTGACTTTGGTTTTCTGCTTAACCACACTCTGACACTGAATGCACACACTCTCCAGTAATTTTCATTGCTCATAACTAAAGTCCAGGAACTGGCTTTGGTGTGAGGGTTATTTTTTTGTATTGTTTTGAGTTTTTCGTGTTTCTTGTCAATCATGGGGCTTGAACTCAAGGCTTGGGCACTGTCCCTGAGCTATTCTGCTCAAGCCTAGTGCTCTACCACTTTGAACTACAGCTCTACTTCACATTTTCTGGTGCTTAATTAGAGATAAGAGTCTCTTGGACTTCCCTACCTGGGCAGGCTTTGAACAACCAACCTCATAACTTAGCCTTCGAATAGCAAGAATTACAGGCATGAGCCAACAGCAGAGGTCCCAAGTTCTGTTTTGAAGCAGCTGTACAAACAACAAAGCTGTAGGCAGAGTTGGGAGGTTAGCTGCTCACACTAAAGTCCTTCTAATCTAAAACATCAGTGGGTCAAAATCTGAAGCACAGGTAATAATAAGGAAGAGATTACAGACTTGCCCTGCCCCTAGGCTCTTTTACCTTTAATGTGAAGCATAAACAACTAGTAGTGTTTGTTCCTGGGTATCTATTCGTGCTGGGTGCTTACAGCTCACACCTGTAATCCTAGCTACTCTAGAGGCTGAGATCTGAGGATCTCAGTTCAAAGCCAAGCCCTGGAAAGTCTATGAAACTCTTATCCAATTAATCAAACCAAAATTTCTGGAAGTCAAGTGGTAGAGCACTACTAGTCTTGAGCAAAAAAAAGAAAAAGCTCAGCAACCAGGCCTAGGCCCTGAGTTTAAGCCTTAGAATCCGTGTATAGGGGCACATACAAGCTGTCTATCTGCAAGGCCAGATTTCCTCCAAATGCTCTAAGTTTTTGTTTTTTGTTTTTGTTTTTGTTTTGTTTTTGCCTTTTTCCAGTTTTTAGTTTTAAGGCTCAACCTACTAAAGGATGTCATCATCTCAAGATCTTCACTTAATTACAATTAATCAGTAAAGGCTCATTTTTTTCCCAAATAATTCACAAATTATAGAAGCTAGGGTTTGGGCTTCTCTTTTGGATGGGTGAAATTCAACCCATTATACCACCCAATTCTGAAAAAGTGGGGTAATAACACTTATTGGGAATGAAGCTTATGTGCTTAAAAGTTAGCTGATAATAAATGCTTACTAAGGAATGTCCAACTGGGGTGTGTGTGGCTGAGAACTTACCTGGGAATTTGTGTAAGACCCTGTTTTTTTTTTTTTCACCAATTACTGTAACATAAGCTCCCCTGATGCTTGTGTTTCAATTCCTTTCTTTCTTTCATTTTTTTTTTTTTGTCAGTACTGTGGCTTGAACTCAGAGCCTGGGTGCTGTCCCTGAGCTCTTTTGCTCAAGATTTGTGCTCTACCACTTTGAGCCACAGCTCCATTTCTGGTTTTTCAGCAGTTAATTAGAGATAAGAATCTGATGGCCTTTCCTGGCTATGCTGGCTTCAAACTGTGATCCTCAGATCTCAGCCTCCAGCGTAGCTATTATTATAGGCTTGAGCCACCAGCACCTGGCTTTGTATTTCAATTTCTAATATCTTCTAGTACTAAAATACCAAGTTCTTTGACAAAACCGCTGTGAAATTTGTCATTGCTCTGCCTTTAACCAACGAGGTATAGATTTAGACACACTGTCAACACCTAAGACCAAAGGAAGTGGAAAAAGAATGAAAGAGAGGGGCTACAATATGTAAGACTCCCTCAGTATTTGTTGTAATGCAGATTCTAAGTCAGAAGGGATGGGGTGAGCTTGAGATGCTAACAGGAGCCCTGGTGATGCTGATGTTGTTCTATAGATCACACTGAGTCCGTTTTAACCAGTAGCAAAGGTACTAGGAACCCATCTATGTTTCTGAGAACCCAAAGCCAAAAGAATTGATCCACAAGAGCTGGTCCTTACCTGAGACCTCATTATATTATTTCCATCTTCTTCAAGCTCCTATAATAGCTGTGACCAGTGCCAGTGTGAAAAGAGTTCAGACTAACCAGCTTTGAACAATTGCCTATAGTTTCAGGAATAGATGTTTATGACAAATAAGATGTCATAACTGGAGCTAAGTGACAGATAATGATTTAAGGAGTTGGTGTGATAGTCCACTTTCTGTCACTGTGACAAATCATTGTGAGACAATCAACAGGAGGAAGGCTTATTCGGGTGCATAGCTTCAGAGCTTTTAGTCCATGGTGTTGGCCCATTGTTTTTAGGCCTGTAGTGAAGATTCACATTACCATGGAAGCACAAGGCAGAGGCAACTGCTCATCTTATGGAAAATAGGAGAGAAAAAGAAGCCAGGCACTGGTGGCTCAAACCTTTCATTCTAGCTATTTAGGAGGCTGAGATCTGAGGATCTCAGTTCAAAGCCATCCAGGCAGACAAAGCTATGACTCTTAATTCCAATTAACTAACAAAAAGCCAAGACTAAACATGTGGTAGGGCATCAGCCATAGCAAAAAAGCTCAATGAGAGCATGAGGCTGTGAGTGAAAGCCTCAGTACTGAACTAAATCATTGATCTGTTCCTCCATATCCATATTCTACCTTACTGCACAGAATTTCACTTCAAAGCCAGCAGTGATTCAGAAAAAATTGCAAATTATATTTCAGATACGGACGTTAGCTCTCTGAAAGCCCTTGTAAGGAGGATCAAGAGAGCCCTTTCACTTCTCTCAGTTAGGGTGGTATTGAATCAGAAATGAACTGACAAAATCTTAATGGGAAAAGGGCACATAGAGCATCATCTACATATCTTCCTCCAAAGGCAAAAGCAGGTAGGGAGGCAGGCAATTACAGGGGAAGAGAATATGATTTTTACAGAGAGTGAAAAGACCTGAAAACCATTTGTAAGGGTGAAGGCATTATTTCTCCACCCTACAAAGATTCCTGGGCACTGGTGACTCATACTTATTATCCTAGTTACTCAGAAGGGTGAGATCTGTGGACTGAGGTTCAAAGCCAGCCCCAACTGGAAAGTCCATAAAGGCTCTTCTCTTTAATTAACCACCAAACAGCCTGAAGTGAAACTGTGGCTCAAGTGGTAGCAAAAAAAGTGTTGAGCAAAAAAACTAAAGGACAGTGCCCAGGTCCTAAGTTCAAACCCCAATACCTGCATGCGCATGCACTTGCACACACACACTTACACACACACACACACTTACACACACACACACACACACACTGATGATGATTAGAGAAAGGTATACACATTTATGAAGGTATGAAGGGAGAAGGGTCCTAGAAATGTAATTACCACTAGCTCAGCATTATTCCAAACTTTAGACATCCTCTTTTTTGTAGGGACAGAGGAAGGAAGGGGGAAGTAATGAAGTAAAGATCCTGAAAAAGATTCCCCTTAGAATTTTATTGAGTCAAGAGGAGAAAATGCCCTGTAGGGAAAGTCTTTCCAGTGT